CTCCCCCCTTGATAATTCTCGATCGTTATCTTATTATACATCCATGGTTGGCACGCTGGTAACTATTTTTTTTTAAAATGGCACTTCATATCAAAAAGGTTGCCGACCCCTGGTCTAAACTCTGACAAAGGAAACATAATGGTACAAGTTCAATGGATTTCAGACTAGCATAACTTCCCCCCAGACATTTAGTTCTTGTTCTAATAATTCGACAGAGGAAGATAGTGTAAAAAGATTTCCCTCTACGATTATCAGTTTCTAACTCGTACACCAGGACTATTCAGTTATAGAAGACCACGCTGTGCAGGGACAGCCATAGACCATTTTAAATTCACAGTTGTGTAAAATATGTAAAGTTTAACAGAACAAACGAGAAAGATCAAATGTAAGAAAGACAGACGACAGAAGTCTCCAACACCCCGGCGGTCCGAATCCCCCAGAAAGCCTTTCAGCTACAAATCACAGCCAACATTTGCAAACACTCTCCTCTCTTCTTCACAACAAATCTTCCAGAGCCAGACATCTTTAAAACAACAAAGACGATGTTTCCTCCGGTGTTTGGTGTGGCCTGGTTCTCTGCTTCAGTCCCAAACGGCTGCAGAGAGTCTGAAGGTCGTGCGGCTGATGGATGGTTCCTCGCTGAGCCTCAACAGCAGAGACTCATTCTCATGCAAATTGCCTCCACTTGGCCAGAGGTGCGTCCTTTAATAGTGTCGCTTAAGTATGCATACACGTGGCCTGCCCTTGAGGACCCTCGTAACACACAAACATTTGTCCAATGGAGCGATGTGATTGGATCAGGTCATATCTAATTATTTGACAGAGTAGGGTGTGTTGTTTTCTTTATAGCTGCTAAACACATGCACCGTGAAGAGAGCAATAGAACATCAGATCAGGACAATCCCGTTTGTAGACCTGGGGACACTCACAAGTGGAACAAGTACTCTGAGTAACAGAAGAAACACTTTGGTCCTTAAATACTCGATTGTAAGTAAAAGTCCTTCATTCAAATGTTACTTCAGTACATAGTTATTCCAGAGACATCTACTGAAAGGATCAAAAGTACTCTTCCTGCACTATGGATTCATTTCACAGAATTACCGTTGATTGTTTTAGTTGGTAACTCTATAGGTGGTTACTTTGAGTGTTAAATGAATGCAGTGGAGGTAAAAGAACAATATCTGTCTCCAAATGAAGCATCCAATGGACTCACTGCAGTACAGGGATGTGAACATAGTGCAATACTTTAGTAAATGTACTTTAGAGAAACAGGAGTCCTGACTCTGTGCATGAGCAACATTCAATACAACATGCCACCATGACCATCAAATGGTGATTTATACACTCATTAAACCACATTTCAGTTAAAGATAAAGATGTTTTCTCACATGTTAGCCACTAGACTACAGCTTGTGTAGGTCCATTTAGAGTTCATTACATCATCTGATACACAAAGAGCTGCCTTCTGTATTCAAAGGACATTGGAACAAAAGCTTGGTTTTAAACGGTTTTGGAAGAAAAAGCAAAGAGAGTTTGGTGGACAGGAAGTGGCGATACCAGCCACAGATCTACAAATGAAAGCTGTCCGTCAGAAGCTCTCCTACAGCCTTTCTAGAACATTGTTATTACCATTCTGCGTTCTGCGCCCTGCCCTGAGCGTCATGAGTCATTCTGTCCGCTGTGACTGGTCCTCTGATTCTGAGCACTGAGCAGTAATTGGCTGAGCAGACAGAGACTAATTACAGCCTCTCAATATTCTCCTCTGCTTCTATGTGATGCCTCCGTTCAACCTGCACAGCCAGCACTTTGCCACGCTGCCTACTGAATCACTTTTTAATATAACACAACTATCACAGTCAAAGAGCTTTTGGAATATTGTCTTATTGAACGTTACCAAACATCCATTCCCTAAAGGCAGATCAGGTCAAGCCAATACATGCTGTAATAATAAAGATATCCTTTCCTAAAGAACATCTCTGCAAGACAAGGGGAATCATTTCAAATGCAGAGTTGATATTGTACCTAATACGTTGTGCAAATGTCCTATCTAATATCTAATTAGGAATTTAAGAGAATAACCAAACGTACATTGTACCACCTGGGGCTTTTACAGCCAATGGGGCTTTTATCGAGTCCTGGGGCAGTTTAACAAGTCCTATGTTCCTAGCTTTAGTAGTTAATGGTGGGCGGTGGTGGCGAACTCCATAGGGACTTGGCTTGGCAACTGGAAGGTCACCAATTCATGTCCCGGTAAGACCAAGTGCTACCGAGGTGTCCCTGAGCAAGGCACCGCTCCCCACACTGCTCCTAACACTAGGATGGGTCAAATGCAGAGAAACCGTTTGGTTACATAGTACCTGTACTACGTAATGACAATACAAGTGCAAACAAAATAAAAACAATGGGCCCTGTTTTGCTTTAGTGGTTTTCCCTCTCCGGTAGGTTCTATAGGTTTTCAATGCATGTAAATGGTCTGCAAACGGCTAAAGGCACTAAATACAATAATAATCACAGATTGTTTTGCTGATTCATCATTATGCAGATAAATTCCTGCATAATGTATAATGACAATTAGAAACACAAATATTTGTACCATTTTCATGTTATCCGCGATTCAACAGGAAGTAGGAAATGATTGTCCCAAATTTCCTGGAAATCCATCAAATGTTTTTTTAATAAATGCCTTTTGAGGCTAAACAATGTAATCGTCAGGCAGGTGGTGCTATTGAAACTCTGGAGACGAGGAAGAATGAAAGAAAACGATGTCATGAAGTTCAATCTTACTGTATAGCTATTTGGAAAATGTATTTTGGAAACATCCAAACTGAAAAGCCATCTCTGGAGCCCCCACGCTAACATGGACCAGTCTTATGAGGGTGTTTGGACAATAAGGCACAGAATATCAAACGCCAAATGGTCAGTACTGGCTTTGAAACACCATGTCATTAAAAGAAGTTATACCTTCAAATTGGGAGGTATTCAGCACATAATCAGCCATCATAACACAGCTGAAATACACCACACAACATCCTGTTAATGGCTTTTATTCCACGCAGACCAAACCACAGTCCATTTCCTGCTTTCTGTTCCTCCCGGTCCATAACAGGCTGATGAATGGAGGCCTGCACACACTCTGACCTTGCTCAGGAGTCTCTGAGCCAGATGGTGAAGTCTCTGACGCCAAATGAGGAAACCTGTTCGCCCGGTGCCGCCTGACATTAATAACAAACTCCAGATCCAGCCGGGGAATCACGGCGGCACTGAGGCAGCTGCTGCCGGCCGAAACACTGCCGACACAACTGGGCTTCACCGGAGAGTCCTCTTCAGTAACAACACATTCCTCACATGCCTCATATCGTTTATTACAAATATACTCAGCTTTTTCTTACACTTCTCACTATGTTTTTACACAATAAAATAACATGTGCACCTGCAGCGTCACACCTTTTGCAGTGACGTTGTTTTTGGAAATTCAATATACGGAGATTTCTTCAATCTTTTTTTTATCAATCAACATCGAATCACACATGTTGTGTTCAATGACACAAAGAACGATAACTCTTTTACTCCAGAACATTTGCTACGCGGCTCTTTTCCACTCAGGATATAATAATCTCATTTCGGTAGCCAGTACTTCTGCTTCTGAAGGTATACACGCCCAACCTGCTTTTTTAGATGGATGGATCCAGAGAGCATCTAGTTTGAGAACAATTTGTCTGTTTCAGCAACAAAGAGCGTGAACGTTAGCCACACTGTGTTAACATCTAAGCGAAAGCTACCGAACGCAACTTTGGTAATGCTAATCATGTTCGTAAGGTTTGTAAGTATATCCTATTGGCAAAATAAGATATAAATACAGAAGAACAAGCCCTGTTAGGAGACAGGAAGTGTGTACAATGTGATACCATTGGTGCGGCTTGAATAGCATCTTTAGTAAAGAGTTAAATACTCACATGCCTCATATCTTTCTGATTGTTTACACTAAATGTTCTCTTTCTAGACACATCAGGAGAATATGACCTTCTGTCCAGGAAGTTATAATACGAGTCCACACACAACCAAAACATTAAATCAGTCAGACTTTCTGCAGCTCTTTCAATAAAGAACATTAGCTAACCTGCTCTTTTTCACTTAGTCTGGATAGCAACGAGTACTAAATATGGAGATCTTTATACATAATCTGCATTTTTCAGACAACAGTTTCCTGTTTCAGCAACAAACAGCGTGAACGTTAGCCACACTGTTTCAACGTCTAAGCTAACCTTACCGAACGCCCGAACGCAACTTTGGTGATACTAAACATGTCCGTCAGCTGTGTAAGTATGTCCTATTGGCAAAAGAAGATATCAATACAGAGCACGCCCTGTTAGCAGACAGGAAGGGTGTACAATGTGATACCATTGGTGCGGCTTGAATAGCAGCTTTTAGCTTTAGCCCCGAACACGTGCCACCAGGGAGGGTCACAAGCTGCACAGAGGAACACTCGATTTGAGGATAAGCATTGTTATAAACGGTGAAACTGCTCGTGTGTGCTCTCAGATATTATGACACATTACCGACAGCATCCTCTCCCAGTCTCTGTGGGATCTGCTGATCATCCTCGAGAGCCGATGATTAGATGATATCAGAGCAATGGGACACACGGGGAAGCCGTCCCCTGAGTGGAGCTGGGAAAGGATTCTGTTGTCTCGATAAGAGGAGACTCTTCAGGAGGAGGGGCTTCCTCTGAATCTGCTGACACGCTTTTTATTACTGAGGTCATTTGCAGATTCTCAAAACAACTGCTGCCATTAAATGCATGTTTGAGAAGTCGTTGATCCATTAAGGTATGATTACATGTTCATTAAAGGGTTAGGTCTAATTCAACACATATAGCATGAGGGGAGTTGTGCTGGCGAGGGCGTTTGCTAATGTAGGCGACATCTATTACATGTTACATGTTGACACAGTTTCCCTATGTGTTGGCAGAGGCACAACATGCTCCTATGAACCTGAACATGAGCAGAATGTGGACCCCTTTAAGGGTGCGTTCACACCTGCCTTGTATAGTCCGGTTGAATCGAACCCTGGTGCGTTTAGCCGCTTGGTGCGGTTCATTTGGGTCGGTGTGAACGCAGTCCGAGACCTCTGAAGTGAACTAAACAACCGGACTTTGGTCCGCCTAAAGACGTGGTCTCGGACCGCTTGCTAGTGAACTCTGGAGCGGTTCACCAGAACGCGGATATCTTAAAAATATTTAGCGAAAGACTCTTTCAAGACATCCGCGGTTGTTTAGTTAAAGAGTGGAGCAGAATGAAGTGTTGAACAGTGTCGTGTTAAGTAAACATTCTCCGTCAACTACATAAAAGTAAGAACACCTGTCGTCGGTGAAACGCCCCCTCCTTACTGCAGAACGTCTCTCATTGTATGTGTTATAATGTTTTTTAACGGACGTTGTCTGATTATATAATCATATGCGCGGGCCGCTAGTTTCTGTTGATCTCCAGATTAACAGCAGCATGAGTATAACCTGCCGAAAGTGCCGATGCTCCATGGCGGAGGCTCCGGTAGAAATTGCCGGGATTTGCGTTTTTACCCCCTTAATGTCTGACCAATGGTTGAACAGCATTTCCGAGCACATGACTTGTGTTTAAAGTTTATAGTCCGTTTGAGTTTTGCGTGTGAACGCAAACCGAGCCTTCTGCGCACCAGAAAACGGACTATTAGGTGTGAATGCACAACCCAGTCTCATGGCATTTCGTGTTCACCAACACGATTTTTAATCTATTGATTCGTGTTCACCAACACGATTTTCTCCTTTTTTTCGTGTTGCACAGCACGATTTTAAAAGCAATGTATTTCTACTGGTAATGTGTTTCATGACTTTTGTTGCCGTCTGTGAGGAAAATAAATGGGGCTCAGAGCCTCAGAATACTGAAATCTGTATTTTTAAATCTTTTTTTCCTTCTAATTTGTTATTCTTTTCAAAATA